TACCAGGCACTATGTTAAAAGCTTTGTGCAAATTAATCTCAGCAGTAGGGCCGAGCCCGTGGCGCACTCGGGAGAGTGCGGCGCTGGGACGGGTTCGGATCCTATATAGGGATGACCAGTGCGCTCACAGTGCTCACTGGCTGAGGGCGGTGCGGCGGTCTCAAAAAGGACAAAAAAAATAAAAAAATAAAAAATAAATAAATCTCAGCTAATCCTTGCAATAATCCTCTGAGAACAGAGAATAAAAATTTTGCCATAGAGATATTAAGGAACTTGTCAGAAATTACTATCAATATTATACTAGAGCCAAGATTCAAATAAATGGTCCAATTCCAGCATCCATGATTTCAACCACTCTGCTTATACTGCCTACAAAAAGAATTTGCTTTCAGTTACCCCACCAGTAAAATGCAAATAATCCTTGCTCATTCAGAGACTAAAAATAGTTTATAAAAAACTTTCTTCAACAATTTAAATGCCCACTACCAGAATAATGGCTAGATACTGATGTAGTTATATGATGGAATTCTGTAAAAAAGTTCAAAATGTAGGACTAGAATTATAAAAATTGAATCAAAAACACAAAGTTGCATAAAAATCAAATTTCTCTTATATATACTTTGATACCATTCTTAAAAGTTTAAAAATCTGCAAAACAATATCCCACTTATATGTAAAAGCATATAAAAACTGAGGTGGAGGGCCAGCCTGTGGCTCACTTGGGGGAGTGTGGTGCTGATAACACCAAGGCCACAGGTTCGGATCCCATATAGGGATGGCCGGTTAGTTCACTTGGGAGAGCCTGGTGCTGACAACACCAAGTCAAGGGTTAAGATCCCCTTACCGGTCATCTTTAAAAAAAAAATAATAAAACTGACATGGGATGATTTAAATGCTCAATTCATGACAATGGGTATCTCTCGATAAGAAAAGGAGAAGAATGAGATCCAGGAGAGGGACCAATGAACCTCAATTTATTCAAAGCAACTAACTGAAGTGCAATGTTAAAATTCAATAAAACTAAGTTGTGAGTATATGCTGTTCATTATATTGGCCTTTAATCTTATTTTCATATTTGGATTATTTCCCAATAAAATAATTTTTAAATGTCCACAGGTGACCCCAATGTACAGCCAGTTTGAGGAAAGAGAAAAAATTTAATTTCAAATATTGTTCTAAGGCATCTGCATTTTTTTGATCCTTATATAGCATCCAGGTTCTATGACTGACAGATTCTAACCTACTTTCTTTTTTCCCCCACATCTCCTACTTCCAGTCTTCTGAAAACTGATTCACAATATAATGAAATCCATAATTATTATATGTATATTTGTCAACATCTGCTCTACGGATTATAAATTCCTAGAATACAGAAAAAAAAATCTTATTTTCTTAATTTCCCATTGCTAGGTGACCATGTGTGCCGGTTTTCCAACTGCTTTCCCAGCATAATCATTAATAGTATCCTCTTTCACTCTCAAAAGTGTCCCAATTTGGATACTAAATTGCATGGTTAGCCTATCCACTGCAATAACTAATGACAGACATGACTGCTAATTTTTCAACATCCCTACATATAAAAGCTTCAAAAAACATACTACTTTGCTTTTCACTTTCTAAAACACACTCCCTTCACACATCAACACGTACTTCTGAACAGCTTCAAAAGCTAAAGAATTTATATGATTTTCCATGTGTATCACTTATGAAAAGAAAGTCAGAAAAAAACAATTTTTGCTTCATAAATGTTTAGAGTTGAGGCTTTACATACCTCCACCTCAAAAAAAAAAAAATAAAGGCAAAATATAGCAAGAATCTTATATATTGATTTACATAAAATTCAAAGAAGAATATGAATCTAAAAATAGTAAGCATGAAGTGTACAATTATTTTGGCTTAGAGTATATTATTTTCTTACTGTAAATTCAATTGTGAACTTTTAAAAGGAATAATTCTATGTTATTTTTATTATCACACTGCAAAATTATTTAAGCTGAACTCCAAATAAAAGATAATAGGCACATTACCTGCATTTAAATCATTTAGTGGCACCTGTAAAGTAGCTGCAACTTTTTTTAAAATGTTCTGCATTTCTGGTCCAGTTTTGAAGGCCTCTACATGATAAAGAGCAGTAGCATTCCTTTCCACTTCAGCTAAAAACTTCTCACAATGATCAAAGAACCTCATTAGTTTATCATTAATCCTTGGAGGTCCACACTCCATATCTGAAAGGAAAAAAAATTACATATATATATTTGTAAATCACTGACATAAATAACAATTTCAAATTACTGAAAATGTTGTCATGTGTGAAAAAAGAATACTAATGTCCTATTAATCAGCATGTCTGATATTAAGCACATATTGATCAAAAAAGACACAGGGTAAAATTATTCTGCAATTGTAATTATTGTAATGCATGAGAGAATATGCTAGGAAAGACTAAAGAGCATTGAAGACAAAACGTGTTATAGCAATACTACACAATGAAATGAAGGTAACTGAAATGACTATTTTCCTAAAGAAAACAAAAATTAGACAGCAAAGTAATTAAAATGTACAAAACTGTGTTATATAAGTACTGTTTCTGTTAGGCAAAGAAAACTTCAGAAAGCAAACTAAAAATTAGTGAAGTTTCTGATTACACAGTGAGAGAGAATTCAACAGATCAAATCTGTTTTTTTTACTCTAAGCCAAAGTCTAAACAGAGTATTTTATTTTCTCAATTGACTTTTCCAGGCCTGTGTTACTTTACAAAAGATTCTGCTTTGGACAAAAACTACTGACAACAGCACAAAATACATTAGTGTTTCAGGTCTACTGTGCTACACTGTGCTACACTGTGCTACCCTGTGCTAGGTGCTTCTGATTTAGTTTATCGTCTAACTGATGCTCTCAGATAACTTTCCATTTAGAATTTAATAAGTTACATTATTTCCCCAATTTGGCTACAAATATGCATTGGAAAAGCATTCATAATCATGCTTCAACTATTGGAGTGCCTTTTAAGTTTTTCTGGTCAGATTCAAAACACATGTATCTCAATAATCATTTCTCTAATAATTTACCATTAAAAAAAACCCAAGTATATAATTTCTATATATAAATTATGGGAAAATTGAATATTGTTATTCCGTTTTGCTTTGGATGTATGTGAAGAAAAAATATACATATGTACGTGTAAATGTGTCCCCTGAAATGGATAATTCTTCCCATTTTAATTGCCAATTGGACTGTATTTCTTAAAATATTTTGACTAGGAAAATAAGTGAACTCTGTCATCTTTTTCTGTGGCCTCAAAATATGACTTCCCAAGTGGATCTGTCTATTTCAGCCTTATTATCATCTAATTACTGCTGCTCTTTAAACAGAAACAAAGGCATTGTTCTGGTGCTATAAAAATACAAAATCTAACTCAGTGGCCTCTCCCAAAAGCCCAGATGTACACAACAAGCAAAACAATTGTCTATAGATAATAATAAAGTGGCTAGGCAAAAGGTTTAATCTCTGAGACTGAAAACGGTGAGGGGTGGGCTTATTCTGAGCTATTGTGATTGCTGTTTGTACTCTGAGGCAAATGCCAATCTTCACAATGCCATCTGAGGGCAAAAATTCATGCATTCCCGGAGGTCCAGAAAACAGTACAGCATATATACTGTGCTATATGAAAGTACAAGGGTACTTGAAAAAGTTCATGGAAAAATTCATAGGATCTTTTAATTCTATTTTTCCCTGAACTTTTTGAAGTACCCGTGTATGTTCTGCTTTCAACATTCAGTTAATGTAATAGATAAATGGCGAATTTTCACCCACGTTAATGGAAAAACTCTAGCTATAATTAAAAAGCACAATTCAACAGGTGACTAAACACAAGTCATCAAACCAAGTGACCCACAAAGCAATAACACGACACACAGTCAAGGGAGAAATCCATTGGAGATGGCTTAACTGTTAGGAAGAAATGACAAACCAGTCTACCCCTAATTTATTTTTCACTGGGGCTTTGAAGCTAAAAGGCCACTTCAACTCTGACCTTAAAACTGATCCAGAAGCTATTAACACTTGTTCATCACTGTCACAAAAACATTTCACGTTTTTATTCTCATCAGGTATGTTACAGGACAAATGGAAACTGTACAGTGTAATGGTTAAGACAGCAAGCTCTAAATCAGATTTACTGGATCCATAACTAGCTGTATGAAATTGGGCAAATTATTTAGGGTTTTTGTGTCTCAATTTCTTCATCTGTGAGATGGGGTGAAAAACTATCAACATCTGAGAGCAGCTGTAAGAATTTAGTAAAATAAGTGTGAGGCATGTTTGGCACACAGCAAGCATTAAGTGTTTGCTATCATCATTACCTCTGACTATCAAAACATTTTCTGAGAGAAAAAGCACCATTCTGAACAAGACCTGGATTCTGGGTCTGACTCTAGTCCTCAAACTACAGAAGGACAAAGAGGCATCCTCTTTGGCTCAACTGCTTCACCCATGGAATAAATGGACCCCATTAGATCATCTCTCAAATTCTGAAGAAGTATATTAACGGAATAAATTAAGGTACTGCAAGTGGCCGTGAACCACTGCTGCAAGGCGGGGAACTCTACAGTAAACACAAGAACAAAACAGAAGAAAATAGGGCATAAACAAGGCTTGAAAGCAGCTCGCTAAAACAGGGTGTAGGTCTAGAACCTACAGCTGAAAAAGTTAAGTTAAAAAAAAAAAAAAAACCGACTAGTATCAGAAGCAAAGACTGAGGAAGAAATTTCTAGATTTTATTTTTAAAAAGGGTGCCCAACTGTAAAACTAGCTGTCTGGGAGGGGACCGTTCAATTTGGAAATGGAAGACGTAAAATTCCGGGAAACACCTCGTCTGTCTGCATTCCCGTTGGATCCCCAACCGCGCCTACAATGTCCGGTTAGTAGGTACTAAATTCATACCTGATGAATGAATAAACGAACATACGCACGAGGAGAAGGGAGACAGCCAAGTCCCGAACACCCCGCGCCCGGGGAGCGCGCAGCCCCCGGGATGCAGGATTGGGAACAGAGGGAGGTGAGGAAAAGCTGGGGCTGGGGAGTCCAGGGTATGGAGGAGGCAGGGGAGAGGACCAGGGCAAGGGCACTGGGCCAGCGGCCCGGGCGGTCACCTGCGACGTCGGGCGGCGGCAACCCAGGGTGGTAGTGCTGCCACAGCCCCTGAAGGAAGGCGGCGCCGCTGTCCACGCAGCGGTGCTTGGAGCTGGTGATGAGCCGCAAACGACCGTAGTTCTCGCGGCTGAAGAGGGCCGGGAAGAGCGAGGCTAGGCGCAGTGCCAGCTGTCGCATGTCCTGCCGTCCCTTCTCCACCAGCTGTCCGTCCATCCAGTCCGCGTACCACAGCGGCCAGTCCGCCAGCGCGGCGCCCAGAGGGCG